ACAATATATAATTACATATTGTTTTTGTGATTCATCACTATGCTTTAATTATGTTCAATTTGTAAAAATGAAAACACATCATGTATATCAGATATATACATGACGAGTCATAACAGTAGCAAAATTACAGTAATGAAGTAGCAACAAAAATAACTTTATGGTTGGGGGTCACCACAACATGAGGAACTGCATTAAAGGGTCATGGCATGAGGAAGGTTGGGAACCACTGTATCATGGTCTTATATTCACCTCATTAATCTTGTTAGACCTGCATATGTTCATTTGTATAATTGAGATCGTTCCATGCATGAAATCCAAGCTAGGTAAACCCTTCAGAAATAATAAGGGGAGTAACAATTCCCTAAGGGTACAGGAAGAGAGGTGGGGGAGGGTCACTGATAGAAATGACGACTATTTAACCCCACTCGAGAGGAACACATAACAGTCTAGATGAACAGACACTTTGGATGGTGTATGGTAGAGCTAAAAACAACTAAATAAAACAATAGTAATAGAATAACAAGGGTTCCTGGAGGGGCAGGGTGGGGGAGGGAGCGGATAAAGGGAAGCTGATAATAAAGAGTTCAAGAAGAAAGAAAATGCTTTGGTGGCAGCAATTGTACAATCATGTTTACCCTAATTGAATATGGATTGGTATAATATCTGTAAGAGCTCCTGTAAATGATTATGAAAGAAGAAGAAGGAGAGAGTGGTTCTGGTGTGCTTCATCTCACTGCCCTCCCTCGATGCGAACGCACAGCGACTCCATAGGATGAGAAAGAATTGCCCCCCCACCCCCACCCCCGTGAGTTCCGGAGACTGTATCTCAGTGTGGGCGTCCAGCCCTGTCTTTCTCCCAAGGAGCAGCTGGTGGGTTAGAACTCCCAACCTTATGGTTAGCTGATTAGCAGCCCAATGAGCAACCACTACCCCACCAGGGCTCCTCTGGCTTGCTTCAGAGAGAAAGAAAAATTTAGTCCCGCATCCCGAGAACAATAAACTATGACTGTTTCATGATCGTTTTATTTTATTAGGCTTTAAAAAGAGCCTCTCTAAGTTTAAGACTGTAGGTTTTAAATATGCATTTCTTAAAGAGAAAAATCTGCGTGTGCAAGCATTTATGGCTTACAAGTCTCTCTGCACTCATAAACTTCTTAATAGAAAAAGCTGTCTGAGAGTCCTCTGCCAATTTTAACACACCTTCTGATAATGCTAATGGAAACCAACAGAGGATGAAATAAAAACCAAGTCACATTCACCTTGCTAAATACCACGTGCCCCCCTGAGGCCCCCCACCCACTCTCACGTGCACGTACAGACACACACACACACACAACACCCCCTTTCTTAGCATGGAGTTTCCTTCAGATTTGCCAGATCTCATCTAACCATGTTTTGTAACTTAAAAATGGTGTATTCATACATTTGTCTTGTGTGATTTTCATACCCACAGTCACATACAGAGGACATATGTGGAGTTACCACGTGCTGAGGGCTTTGCAAAACTTATATTCCATCCTTGCAACAACACAAGGCAAGCGATGTTAATATCCCCACATTGCACATCTGGAAATTGAGGCCCAGGAGGGTTTAGTAGCTGTCCCAAGGCCACACAGCTGGCAAATGTAGTCTAGGCTAGGTTAGGGGGTGACCTTAGACCATAACGAGAAAAAGACCCAGTCAACAGCTAGCACCCAGTGAGTGGGGCCATCTCACACCCTCCAGCCACAGGTGAGTCTCCCCTACTGTAGACGTGAGCCCAAACAAGAGCAGAGAACTCCGGTCAACCTGCTGAAACAGGGGCAATTAGAACCCACTATAGTCTGAGGTCTCATACGTAGTGACAAGAACTGATGTCATCTCTAGGATCAAACCCTCTCCAGGTGTCCCCTTACTCTTCTTATCTGTCCTTAATCGCTTTTCTGAGATGACTACCTCTCTTCTCTTCCCTTACCCAGCACGCCCTTGTTAACCAAATCCAAACTCACTGACGTCACGCCGATTCCGACTCATAACAACCCCATAGAACAGGGCACAACTGCCCCCGTGGGTTTCAGAGACTGGGACTCTTTACGGAGTAGACAGTCTCACCTTTCTCCCTCGGAGCGACTGGTGGCTTCCAACTGCTGACCTTGTGGGTAGCAGCCGAACTCATACCATCACCAACTCATAACTCATCACCAGGGCTCCTCTCAATCTTACGGAAGCCGCTGCTGTTTTGTATTTTCTGTCACATACAGAGAACCCTCATTAGGCCACCCTCACCTGTCCAAGGTTGTGGTAAATAACATCCTGCTCTAAGAGTTAAAGACCTACAATCAGCAGAAGGTGGGCGAGACTTTGTAGCTAGCAGCTGAAGACATGAAGTCAAAAGCAAAATGAAAAGATAGCCACAAAACCTTAATAAAGAGGAAAACCCAGATGTCTCCCTGCAAATGATGGCCTCTCTGTCAGTTGCTGGAGGGTTTGAGTTGCGTATCAGCTCCCCAGAGTGCGATCGGTTCTGAGTACACGGACGAATTCCAGTGTTTTCGACTTGGAAAGCTAGGGGCTGACGCTCTGTGATTTGGTGTGGTCCTGCCCTCCTGATCGGTTCACCTTTCTATGTGGCATTTCATTTGTACCAACAGCATCCTTGAGTCGCATCATGTGTGAGACCAGGTTCTATTGACCAGACTTGGCTGCAACTGTGTCTGACATGCCATCACCCCATGTCTTGGCTACTCCTCATGACAAGAGGTGAGTTGGAAGATTCTCCCATCAGAGGTGAACAGGCTGGCCCCTATGGTAGGAATAACACTCTGTGGTGCCACGAAAGCAGCGTTTTATTTAAGACACCAGAACCTCTATGGAGATCATGTTACCTTCACATTGCCCTGTTCAATTAGCCTGAGATAATCTCTGGAGCCAGGTGGTGAGGTGATGTATCCCAGAAAGATCACTTGATGAGAGCTCTTTTTCAGCAGCTTGGCAGTAGCAATTGCCTGAAGTTTCCTGTCCAGGTCGTCTCTGAAAAATGCAGAGATATATCTCTTGATCATCTTTGCAAAGCAACCTCTAAAAGTCTTACCGAAGTTCCCAAAGAATATCTTCAAGTAGCACGCAAAGCCAGATGAGTTACTATTTGGGCAAAGGCCTTAAAGCGTTGCAAACAAACAAGAGATATAGGGTGTGTTAGTCCAGGTAGGCTAGAGAAACAAATTCATCTCTCTATGTATCCATATATATCAACTCATACATAAATAAGAAAGAGGTTTGATACAAGAGCAATTGAATATTGAGAAAACATTCCAGCCTAGCCCAGATCAAGTCCATAAGTCTGATATTAG